TCCATAACACTTAACATCCATAGCATCCATAACATGCATAACACATAACCTCCATAACATCCATAACACATAACATCCATAGCATCCATAACACATAACATCCATAACATCCATAACACATAATATCCATAGCATCCATAACACATAACATCCATAGCATCCATAACACATAACATGCATAACACATAACATGCATAACATGCATAACATCCATAACATCCATAACACATAACATCCGTAACATGCATAACACATAACATCCATAACATCCATAACACATAACATCCATAACATGCATAACACGCATAACATCCATAGCATCCATAACACATAACATGCGTAACACATAACATGCATAACATGCATAACATGCATAACATGCATAACATGCATGACACGCGGAACACCAACACAAAAGACAGGTTGATATCGAGCGATCGCAAAACAGTGCTGTTTCGTGTGGGGCGAACAATTAGCAGCGGAGGCTAGCTGTTCTAGGGTTTTTCGGAACACTTGAGGGACAGCCCGAACAGCCCAACATAAAAGGACACTCAAAATGCGAAGACCCTCAGTCTCTTCGGCCATGCTCTTAACAGCAGTAGCATACCATCCCACATCGGTATCTACGTTACCGTGATGGTATCTACGTTACCGTGATGACACGGCCGCTATCTATATGCACGCCTTTACGACACTTCCTCGAACGCCAAAAATAGCGTAAAGATGCATCTCCGTCTTCCTTCCCTTCACATTCGACCTCCGACTCACGTTCCGAAACATGACGCCGACTCTTATTAACACCCCTCCCTCAAGAGATGTCACAGCAACACTACGGTAGTACAGCACGTGGTACAGTCGTGGCTTCGATGTAAGAGGGTCGAGATCGGTTGTCCCGGACTCGACCCGCTACATCGTTCCCTCATATTCCGGTAGTCTGTAAGAGGGGGTTCCGAAACAAGAGGGTCGAGGGTCATTGTCGCACCACCGAGCCACAACTTGAAGTAGCCCCAATCAAGCACTCCATGAACTTGCCAAGAGAACACAAACAATACACACACCTTCCCTTGAATCCCGGGCTACACGTTTCGTAAACCTCACGGAGGTCGTTGCAGCCGAACACCGGGTCAGGCTCGTCCCGCGTGAACGCCCAACCCCCCCGAGACGCTTTGTCCGGATCTGGAACACACACCGGGGGGGTCGTTTGACGGTGAGGCGACGGGGGCTCCGTGGGTGGGGGTGATTGGGGGACATCCCTTACTTGCATCAGGCCTGATCCCATTTACCAAGCATGTGAACCGAGACCGACGAACGCTTGCTGTGTCCAGAGGATAGAGTCACCTAGAAACCATCTTATCACGTGCCCCAGACATGCCATTCCTTGCAGTTTCTACTGCAGCGGCATCGACGGCGGGGGCGGCGTTAGGGGGAAGTCCCGATAGTATTCACCTCACAATCAAGGCAACCTTCAACAATGGGCTAAGTTCAGCGCACGATACATTGTGCATCTGCGAAGCCAACTCTCGGTACCACAACCTTCGGTATCGGCGGAGGGGGGGGGGAAGAAGGGCGAGGGCCGATTCACCGTCTAGGCATTTCTCTGCTGCAGCCTTGTCTGGGTCCACCTACAGCGCGATGTATCATGACAGCTCTCTCTCTCCCCCCCCTCTCTCCGTCTCTGTTTGAGTCACCTTTGGCAACGTAGGAAAGATCGATTGACCATTGGTCATCAGTCCTGCCGGAACAATGCTCCGTCCTCTCGAGGACGCATGGTCAACGGTCTAACCGGTAGGGCATGCCAAAACCTGAATACGCCCCCGTCCTCTCCGTCTCCCGCATTTCCCGCCACAAACCTATCCCTTGATCCCCTATTTCCTTGACCACCCCCCTTAAATCTAACTCACTCACTGTCATCCATGTAGGAGAAGGTCACGGCAGGGGACAGCCCTCTCAACACAACCGCGAGCACGGCGCGATGACACCAGGGGCAGGTGTTCCCGACGTAAACGTGGTACCTTCCAGGCTCCACCGGAAACGCCCCCCTTCCGATCCATCCTCGGAACCCGTAGTTCGGTCTGGCGTGTGGATGGACAGTCGACCGCACGCAGCAGCAGTAAGTGTGTGAGGAACACGCGATACAAATTTCGAAGTCATGCCTGAGGGTGTGTGAGATTCCCACCCGCCGTCCACCTCACGATGGCATAGAGGCAGGCTGCAGCGAAGAATGTGGGTCTCACGGCAAGTCTGCCATTGCACGGGCTGTCCTTGCATGTGCTCGAGATAGTTAGCCCTCATCAACCATCTCTCACGAATATGCAAAAAACAAGTCACGACTGCGCTTTTTGGGCGTAACAGACTGGACGCAATGTCGAATGGCGGCGCGACGAGGGCAATACCGGTACGATCTGGAGCCTCGAGAGGTGGTGTGCTGCGATATTACCATTCCTTTGCTGCTGTGGTGCTGCTCGCAGTGCTCTTCAGCCTCAAGAAGATGAGTAATTTGCATGCTGAACACCAGTGTAAATAAGGGCACAGCAGCGCGGGATTCCTCCCCATACGCACCTCTACCCACGCTATCCATCCCCCACTCATGCCCCCCCTCTCAGCCCTGCCGCAGCTAAATAGCTATGAAGCATCTACAGCGCTATCCTAGACCTATCAGTCGGAGGGGAACAAAAACAAACACATCGTCTACAGCCACACTGCTGTACACACCGGACGTACGCCCCGTCTGGAGACTGAGGGGCCAACTCGCGCATCATCTGGAGCCACACGAACTTCCACCCTGCTCGCGCGGTCTTGACAAGCCCGCCCTGGGGCACCAGCCCTCCGGCCAGCTCCAGGATGCCAAACCCTCATCATGATCATGCCACACGAGGGATTGATTCCAAAAGCAAGGAAGAGAGAGGGGCGGGAGTTTTACATTGATTGCCGTTGCTTTCGTAGTTTGGCCGGTACCACGCATCCCTTTCGGAACGTGTTCTATCTCTTCACTTTCTGGCACGCTGTGTGCATCCGCCCATAAGTACAATCTACGTTTATCTTTGTACCACATGACTGCTGTCTACCGGTTGTTTCTGGCTGGATCTTGGACAAATAATCTTGACGGCGACAGAGTAATGGATAGCCTATAGCAGGTGCCCCCCCGGGGAAAGGCCAACATGGCGATGACAGTTCTTACGTACAGATCTCCGCGTATTCTGCAAAGGGGGGAGTGGAACGGTATACTTTGAAGCAGTTGCCTCGGACAACAGCAGTACTTGTAGCTTCTAGCCCCAGTGTACAAAATGTCGGCGAAACCTCGGATGAGAACGAAATCTGGGCGTGGAACAGAGGAATAGAGCCGGTTTCTGTCGTGGAAACGCAGGTCGATGCCCTCATCGCCCCGACTATTATACAGCAGGACTATTGACTGCATTGCGGAACCCACTGCTGTACGTTTGATCGCCGGAGACCATCATAACATGTCATTGCACAGCTGAGCTGTGCGTCTCTTTGGGGGTGTTAGGTAACAAGAAGAGTCTGTGAACGCACGCAGGCATGTTACTGCTTGAAATGCCTGTGGCCTGCTCCTCACCCTTGTTCAACTTAGCGCCATGATCACCCGCCGCCATCTGCGCTACCCCAGCAGAGCGCCTCCTGCGAAGCCGGCTTGCACCGCAAGCGGCATGCCGGGCCGAAGACCCGGCGGTGTGGGCGATGAGGGCGGGAGAAGGGGGGGGCACGAACGCTTGGCTGAGCTGAAGTACGCCGGCGCCGAGCAGGAACATGTGCACGTCCAAGGCAACCTTCATCCTTGCGGTAAAAGAAGCCCCGGGGCTTCTACTTCTACCCCTGACGACCCTGGACAATCGCAGGGCTTGCAGGCTGCTACTGCTGTTGTAGAGCCTGGGTACGTGTTGGGCACGTTGTCGTCAGAGAACGCCGTCACGTTGTAGCTGTTGTGGAGTCGAAGTGGGTACCGAAAAAAACTGCTGTGACAGATGAGGTCCCGCGAAATCAGAGAGGGGGCCCCGCGGACGGGCGAAGGCAAGTCAATCCAGAGAGGCAGGATCCAAATCAAATCCGACAATTCTTCATGGCCCATGAGAAATCAGATGTTTGCGCAGGTTAGAAAGCCGTCGCTGAAACAGGGAGCGCGTGTCGGGCGTCGACAACATTCTCTTTTCCTTTCTCCGGATGCACGCTCCCCGCCGGTGGTTGTACATCTGCACCCTCTCACGTAATCTAGGTTTGACTCTCTCTGCCGATGCACACTATGTTTTGCGGATGGGTTCAAATCTCTTTGGCAGGAAAGCTCATTACAGCGAGCGGTGGAAACAGCGAATCGTCGTGAGTATGCATGCAAACAAAAAGAGCGAAGGCACTGCTGCTGCCGTTCTCGCAGAAGTAATGGAAGGCAGGCACCACAGGCGAAAGCTAAAAAAAAGAAAAAATGAAATAACCCCCTCCAGTCAGTGTCTACCCTCCTCGTGCCAGCGGTGTCACCACGGCTGTACTTCAAACATACAGCACCGAGAGGTGTAGATTGGCGCCTTTAAGTATTATCAATGCCTAACCTCCGATTTTACCACGAGACCTGAAGATAGTTCATTTTTCACGCCAAAACAAATCGATGCGGCGTTTAGCCAGCCGGTGAGCGCGGTCGATGCTAGCAAACGAAACACCTCACACAGCATTCAGGATCAGCCGCTCAGCCGGGGCGAGATTGTCATTTGTCATTCTCGCAACATTTCTTGTTTCCACACTCACACGAATTAATAGACTACGCAGGTACCGAGCAGAGATCGGAACAGCAATGTTCACTGCGAAGACAAGAACAACGACGACAGTGACAACAACGACGCAGGCCTTGCTTCGTTGGAGCGTTTCACTCGTTCGGAAATTGTCTTCCAAACGGACCCTGGCGTACGCAAATTTGTGAGATATGGCGTTCCACGCCTCGCGACCAATTCCCGGGCCGCAGCGGACAAACCTTCTACATCGCGACGTGAAATCTGAGGCCATGCATACTGCTGCTGCACCGCTTTCTCCTCACGGCAGATGTCGTCAACTGACGGGCAAGCATCCGTCTTTCTTGCCACGAAACCATCAACTTTCCGGCAACCACGCCTTGTTCACCGACAAACGCGCAAGCGAACCACCAAAAATATATATATTTACAACCAGCGCCATGTACAGTAGCAAGCCAAACAACCGAACGTCAGGTGGACCCATCACACGTCGCCTTCCACTGGGGTCGGCGGCTGAAGCGGCAACGGTTTCCCCGCGGCAGCGCTTCTAATGAGGCTGTCCAAGTACTCGAGCACTCTCTGCTCCTTTGGTGTGATGTCGGGGTGCCACACCATCACCAGGAGGATTATTCTTTCCTTCTCGGTGTTATTTCGAGTCCAGTGGAGGTAGCTCGTGTCCATGCAGAGAAGCCTTAGGAGGCGATCGTATCACGGTGCACGCGCGAGGAAAGCGACGGGAAGGGAGGAAGAGCGAGGGATAAGTTAGGGAGGGGGGGGGGTGTACTCATAGTCGTGCATGCCGTAGTCGTTAGACCATTGACCTCGCATCCCTACAAAGCCGGGACGGAGCACGCCGGGTTCTCACCGGACCAGGCTCTCACATCACCAAGCGCGAAGCGCCGTGAGGTATTTGGCGAGTCGCATGAAGGGTGAGCTGCATCCTGCTAAGGATGTTCGGCATCTTGTGCTTACTTCCTTGCGTACGGATGACAGCTACGTATGACTTAATTTATTTTCTGGTGCTTTCACTTCCAGAGACAGTTGTAAGCACTGTGTAACTGCCTCGAGGATGCTTGACCATTTTAACACAACGTGGTGCGATCATCCCCCGTTCGGGGGGGGGTGTACTCATAGTCGTGCATGCCGTAGTCGTTAGACCATTGACCTCGCATCCCTACAAAGCCGGGACGGAGCACGCCGGGTTCTCACCGGACCAGGCTCTCACATCACCAAGCGCGAAGCGCCGTGAGGTATTCGGCGAGTCGCATGAAGGGTGAGCTGCATCCTGCTAAGGGTGTTCGGCATCTTGTGCTTACTTCCTTGCGTACGGATGACAGCTGCGTATGACTTAATTTATTTTCTGGTGCTTTCACTTCCAGAGACAGTTGTAAGCACTGTGTAACTGCCTCGAGGATGCTTGACCATTTTAACACAACGTGGTGCGATCATCCCCCTTGCGCGGGGTGAGGGTTCTCCACTCCGCATCACATGATCTACTCGACCACCATTATGGTTACCGCCAAAAAAAAAAACAGAGCGTAAAAAAAAACCCGGTAACCTGGTTGCCGAGTTCACGAAGTGAATTGACTTGTTTTACAACGTCGTTGCCAAGCGACGAAAACCCAACCCCGATGGCAAACACCGGGGGGGTGGGGAGGGGGGGGGGGGGGGGTCGTTGTATATTGTGTTGGTGGGAGAACGCAACACATGTCGCACATGTCCCCGAACGCTCGGACCCACGCCGAGAAACGAAGACGCATACTTATTGATAGAGGGTGACCTTGCACAAAAACTGGCGAGCCATACCGCAGGTGACTCTACGAAATGCCCCCAACATGTACGTAGGACAAACTTGGGCGGTGCCCGCACTTCTTTCTCACTTGTTGTTGCGCCACGCCCGGCTCTCCATGTTGACCCCCACCCACATGAGGCATTCCTCGTCGCCTGGAACGTCTAAGCCCAGATGACAGGTGATGATCACGTTCGATCCGTCGCTGAATTTGGCGCAAGAAAACAGCGTAGGGAGAAATAATATAACGACGGGAGAAAATAAAAAATAGCAGCAGCAGCAGCAGCAGCAGCAGCAACGGCAGAGTGGGGTGGGGGTCACACCGAAAACCTTCGCATCCAAACACTGCTCCGTCGTTTCCCGTGCAAACATGGTTATGTTATCAGTCCGGTCCGTAGCGCAGCTTCAAATAGTCTTGAGAAAAAAGAAAAAAAAAGACGCGTGTAGTCTCACCGCACTCCGATACCTCCGCCTTCTACATTTCCCCTTGTCCTCGCTCCACGCCACTAACCAACCGTAAGTGTATATTTCTCCATCTTGGTTTCGCACCTGTGCGTCTTAATGCCTGACATCGGTTGCTGTCGCCCAATCAGCACCGCTCGCGCATCTCTGAGGATACCAAGATCTTCCAATACCTGCAGGGAGATATAAGGACGGGGTCGACTGTTGCAGGGGAGGCAGAAAAAGTGCAAGTGTTGATTCAAACAACGAAGGGCGTCGGCCCCAACTTCGTAAGAAGCTCCACCGTCAAGCCTTCGCGTGCCAGTGCCATCAGTGCCATCATGCCGATTGACCCTACGTCGGCGCCCTCTTGTGGTGCCATGCATGCATACAGGGCGCCGCCAAGGGTAAGGACACCAGCACAAGCAGTAGCGGCGGCAACAGCACAAGGACAAGATGCATCCATTTCGCTCGGAAAAATTTCGTTGGGAAACGCCAATTACTCCAGGCTCTACCCATCCCACCCAGCGGCACCTTCAGCGCAGTAGTCAAGTCCTCACGTGCCCCGCTGCAAAAAAAGACAAGGTCGTCGAAACACTACTGTGGTAAAAGAACCGACGTTCTTTGTGGCGAGAAACCACGCACGATTTCACAGCAAACAACTTCATCCGGGCCGCGGAACAAGCCTACAATCCTGGCTCTCTTAAAGAGACACGCATAGTAAGTACACATGGTGTACTCGGGTGCACACACCCATGCCGCCCCCTCACGGGGTCCCAGTTAATGGCATTTCGAAGTGCCTTGTGTTTTCAATCGCAAGGAGACTGACGTCTTTTCATAGGTCAGCCGGGTAGCGCGGTCGATGTCAACAATAAAGACAAACACACACACACACACACCTTGAGAGTTTTGGGGAAGTGAGCGCGCTGGGCCTCGTACATCTCTGCCGGTTCCCTGGCGTTGACCAGAGGGATGTGCGTCCATCCCTGGCTGGTGTAGCCTCCCTCTTTGCTGTTCTTAAACTGAGAATCCGAGGCTTCTTGAGCTCGGAGCGCCCGGTACTCCTCCTGCAACAAGAAAAAAAACAGAAGAGTTTATTAGCCGAATAGACGGAATAAAATGCGGTTCACTTGATGTAACAGTTCGGATTGTATTTTGATTAATTATTCGGTAACCTGGGGTCACGAGGGGAAGACATTCGAACCCCCCTCCTCGTTATTCCGTTGAGAGCACGCAGTGGTGTAGTAGCAAGTTGAGCAACAAGCGGAAGCTACAGAGCGCGTGAAGAAAAGGAAGGACAGCAGTGGCCACCCAATGTAGGAGGCGGAGCAAAAAGTAAAGCCAACACTGATGTGACTTTCAGGAACGCAACAATACATTGTCCACACCAAGATGAAAACACCGGCACGATACCGCGAGGCTGAAAGCGTTCGGTGCTAGAGTTACATCCCCGTCCGTTGTGTTATGAAGGTATGTTTGCACGAGGCTCGGGCCCCTTCCTCAGGCGGGGGTAGGGGTGACCTTGCACAACAACTGGCGAGCCATACCGCAAGCAGGTGACACAAGATACCACCCCCCCCTGGACCGATTTTCAAAGCTCGATTACTCCACGACGAAGAGGATGCACAAATTGAACGATACGTTTTCGGAGAGCTCTCGACGAGACGGCTTCAACGGCGCCAGTTTTGGCGCTGGCGCTTTTTCTGCTGTGGAGGAATCGAGCTTTGAAACGGTCCAGGGTGTGTGATATATGAAATCAATTACCTACCGTATTCCGTAGCATCGAGGGGATACGTCCCCTCGTTAATAACAGAACAGTGAACCTTCTTGCGTGATACGTGAGGGTTGATTGCTTCGCCCCCACGATGACTAGCTGATCTCGCCACGTCAGCTCTTGCACGCTACGGCATACTAGCCGGTGTGGGTTATTCTGCGGGGACCACAAGAAGAGTGCTTCGAATGCCAGAGACCAAACCTTGGTGGCATGCTACTGGTAACATTGCTGAAGCGGCGGGGGTATCGCGTGCGTGTAGCGTGCTGTACCTGGATGATTGGGCTTGCTTCCTCAAGCTGCTGAGCCCACGGAAAGACCTCAGGCTCCCACCTGCGACGAGCCGTCCATCAAGCGTACAGCCATGACAACCAAGTCGAGAGAAAATCAATCGTCTACCAGGTACTAGCCGCAGCAGCAGGAACAACAACAACAACGACAACGACGGCCACGGCAACGGCCCTGGCAATGTTCATGGAAAGGCGATGAGAGTCGATTTCTGTGTTGGACTTGAGGGTGAAAAACTGCTTTGACTGCAAGGGCGCCCAATTGGCTGTCTTGTGCCTTTGATACCAATACTCAAAATACTCAAGACTGTGCATAGGAAACGATGTAATACTTGTTGTTGGTGCGACACATCGGCATGGGAAAATGCCGGCGCGCCAGTGAGGGAGGTACGCGTCCGCTCGTTGTACACCGGCGCCACTATTTATGGGCAACACAGGATGTCGGAAAAGAAGGCAGGGCCATTTCACGATTAACCGAGTCAGCCGCGGTCAGACGCTGCTCACAGCACGGCAGTGCATATGGAGTACAACGTGATATTGGCCCTTGCATTCCATTCTTGGAAAGACTAAGCGTGATCGTTGTTCTTGAAGCGCACTTCCTTTTCGTGCTCCGTATGGAAAGCTGCTCCCACGTTGCTGCGCGAAGGGTTGCACAGATGCAAATCTAGAGACCCCCCCCACGGGGCACGTAGATGAAACCAACCGCTTTCCAAAAGTAGAAACAGAAAAAACGATGCGGACACCCGCGCTGGCCAGTCCACTCCTCTATCGAATTGTTAATGCTGACATTGTCCATTCTCGTAAAGTAGCGCACCACGTTCGGGGATTATGGTAAACTCTGTCGCAGACGGTGTTCGCTTAGACCTGCGGAATCGGCACTTCCATGTATCTCAGCAATAAAGCATCTTCCTTCTCTAGTGGAAAATACTTGATACAGTGTAGGCGCAAGCTGCCAATTCGCAAAATGCGTTGCACTGTTCACCGAGGGCATCGGTGCTAAAACAAAAACCTTAAAAATGGCCCGAAGCCTCTCTACGTTGAAAGTTAGTGCCTGACATGGGTAAAAAATGAAGGGCAGCAGCGGAGGAAAACGAACGGTTCTCAACGCATGCCGCACAAAACCAGTCTTAGCAGTAGAAGAGTTCACCATGGACGCGATTTCAGGTTGGGGATGTACTCCTTCGTCGCGAACTGGAAATCGTCCATGCCCAACTGTTCCGTTGCGTCCTCCTGAACAATTTGCAACAACAAAGGGCGACATGACGCACGTTTCGGCACACACGCACAAAACAAAAACGTTTTTATATCTACCCGCAGGCCAAGAACATTCGCCACGTGAACACAAAATAACAGGCGACGTCGGCAACACGCAAGTACCGTAGGAATCTCCTCACGGTTCGAAACGTGTGGCAGGCTTGACAAAACCAGCTATGACCTAGAGTAGACAGAAGAGGTGCGGGATTTTTACTGCCAAGAGGAGGATGCTGCCAGTTCTGCGGGGGGTGCCTTCGCCAATCGTTTTTATCCGTCTGCACCGGGTCGTTCCAGGGAAACTTTCCTCATTGACAGGGTGTGGAAGAAGTGTGGGGGGATACTATAGCACAAGCGTAAAACTTGCACTCCTTCCTCACAACCATCCCCTTCTCCGTAAAACCGCTCGTCAAGCTGCCGTAGACATCGAGGAACTCATTGTGAGGCATAGAAACCAGGTCCGTAAACGGCACTGCTGTTTGCCATCTAGATAGCAAGAGAACGAGGATGTGCCAAACCTGCTCTCTGGAGGACGCCTTCCACAAACGTTTCCTCATATGCGGCACGAGCCCTCGGATGCGGTCGTAGTCCTCCCTCTCGCCGGCGTCGCTCTCCCGCTCGATGTAGGTCTCCAGCAACTCGAAGGCCTTGTCGCGGTCCGCGCTGTTTTCCATGCATGTTCGATCGCAAGGAGTGCGAAACAGACGGAGTGAAGGTTCTCACGTTCTCTGCTGGGTAAACGTACACAGAGCCAGTACGCGCTAGCTTTGGCAAGTGCTACCAGCTTTGCCATTGCTGTGATGCAACTACCATTTGAAAAACCTTTGCCACGATTATTTATTTTTCCTTGATGTGCGAAAGTGGTTACCTGCAGGCAACTCCCATGGCGAGGAACCACGGTCTCCCCTACACGAGTTTTGCTCTCCTCGTTCATGATCGGCAAGAAGACCGACAGAGACATACGACAAAAGACGAGCAGGTCTAGGCAATACACATACCGGGCGCCCAATCCCCATGTGTGTACTTCTGTCGAAGTCGAAGTCATGGAGCATTGCTCTCAGGTGTTCTTCCACCACCCGGCCACTGCTACGTACGTAGGTAGGGGCTCACGATGTGGATACGGCAGTTGGTTGGCGGGCGCTCGTGAGAGCGGCATCGAAACCACACGCTCGCGCTGCGGCAGGCATGATACATCGAACACCGCCCTGAATGTAAATAACCAGCATCACAGACCTCGAGAGGACTGCTGTTTCTGCCTGCTGACGTTTGACGGAACTGCTCAGAGAAGGACGATGGTACCCACTACACTATGTACAAGTACTTATGTATACTGTAGAAATAATGTTAATGTTGCACGCACTACCCCCCCGCTCACCGTTCCAAAAACACTACGTGCCGCGCATTTCTCCCGGGGCGATGTCTCCAGTCGAGGTGGTGCAGAACCGTCGCTTGCTGCTGCGGTTGCACGAGTGCACCAGAGCAGATTGAAGTAGACGAGCAACCGCCGCTGCTAACAGCAGCCGGAGCTTGCGCGATGAAAGCGCTAGACCGGTCCGAGGAGCAAAGGAGTACGGCCAGTGGCACCGCTTCTTGCAGACAGGCAGGCCGCATGTTCGTCGTGGCGCTTGAACAGCGAAACACCTTCCCTGCTGTGTGCCGCGCTCTGCTGGCGGGGGCCCGGGCGGGACTGTCGAGATTCTCGGGGATATTTGAGACGAGGCGTTTTTCGTAATTAAGTTGGCGGCGCCAAGCACGAAAAAATTGGGAAGGTGTTGGCATGTGTTGGCATGCCGTCATCACATCTCGCACACGCACACGCGCTGTGTCACGCGTAGCATGCCCAACGGCGGAAAGCCACGCGAGAGAGTAGCTGGAACCGCCGCCCCGGGTGCCTCCGCGGGACTCCCGGCACCGTCGGCGAAAAGGTCGATTGGGCGCTTGGTTGAGCGCATTTCTCTCAAGCTCGGGAACAACGACGTCATGGCGACAGCGGGTGCTGCTGCTGAGAGAGACGGGGACGGAGGGGGGAGGAGGGGGCAATACGTGAGAACGTTCGAGGAGGAGCATCCTTGCAAGCAGCCTCTTCTGGTGAAGGTGAGCCCGTCTGCTGTGTCGTGTATCGTGCTTGGGTGTGTGTGTGTGCAGAAATTTCCTGAACACGTGCTTCGACCGTGGTGTGTTGGCGCCCTTTCGCCCGAATGGAGCGTGACAGCAGTGCTTGACAGCAGCAGCAGTCAGTGTAGTACAGTCTACTGCTGTAGGCGGAAGAGAGCGGACGATTGTCCGCACTTGATGAGTTTGGACTTGGATCTGTTCAACACGGAACATTGTCGGAGAACATTATCGGAGGACCTTCGGAGATGATCGATCCACACGTACACTCTGCTGGACACAATCCCCGCGCATCAATACACAGCAGCGTTGGTGTTGAAGCATCTTGCCTTGCACAGCATACAGCAGTGCCCCCCCCCGAATAAGGCGGTCTCAATAAGACGGGCGCCCTAAACAAGGCGGGTGAAGTTGACTGGCATGGACGGGATAATCAGGTTGTTCTACACATTGAATAAGGCGGCCGCCACATACAATATGGTGGTCGTTATCAGCTACCCCACCACCGCCTTATTCGGAACCCCCACTGCTGTAGTCAAGTCTGGGCAGTGACACGATAAACATGACCCTCTCCCTCTGGTGCTCCCCTCTCTCAAGGGTACCCTGTTCCTCCTGAGCCCCAACACTGTTGTTGTTGTTGAGGCAATAAGTGCAGCATTGTCAAGCGCTTTTCGAGAAAGAACACCCTCACAACATGGAAGAGGGACTGTACCGAATACGACACAAGATAACACACCCCCTGGACCGATTTCCAAAGCTCGATTTATCAACAGTAGAAAGAGCCGCAGCGCCGAAAACGGCGGCGTTGAAACCGCCTGGTCGAGAGGTCTCCGAAAACGTATCGTTTCGTTTATGCAACTTGTTCGTAGGGGAGTAATAGAGCTTTGGAAATCGGTCGAGGGGATGTGTTATCTTATGTCGTATACCTTAACATGTATTCTACCAGACAGACAAGTCCTGGCGTGGACGTGCTACAGCGGTCTCCGAAGGGCAGTGGAGGTCAATGGTCCAGTGCCCCAGTACAAGTGTTGCCAGCCGGAGACGGATACCAGACCAGACACAATGAATGCCGCGCCAGGACGTGGCTGTTTTCGTTGTCAAGGCTCAATGATGCCGCCTTTTTGGACACTCTAACATGTTACTTCAAGTAAATAGTTTCTCCGGAGTACAGCAGCCACGACAGCTCATCTATTTGGTTCCTCCCCGATGTACCACACGGGGCACGTGAACCCTTGTTAGGAAATCCTTTTTTGTCAACATTTGACAAGTCGGCCCCTCTACGCTTCATCTCTCGCTCTCCCTGCGGGCGTATTACATTGCCTTGGTACAGCAGTATGCCTCCCTGCCGACGCAACCACACTGCCCGACTGTACCTTACCTTGTATCTTCTTTTCTTTCAACTAGAGCTTCGACGGGGATGTCGCCGCCGGTCGTCCGACCGACCTCCCCGGGGAGTTCATCGGAGATCGCAGGCGTTCCGACAGCTGGAAGGTCGACGACGCTGCCGAGCAGGGGCGCTACGATGCCGCCGAGGCGCGGGGGTACGGCCTGTACTCCCTCCACGCCGTCCTCGGGCAAGGAACCTTCGGCCGCATCCACCTCGCCTCCTGGCGGCACCGCGGGGGCGGCCTTGCCGCAGCAGCATCATCGCCCGCGTCGCTTGAGGACCGCCCATCGTCGCGTGGTGGTGCTGGTGGTGGTGCGGCTGGAGCAGGAGGGGTAGGCGCGGGAGAAACACGGGAGAGGAGGACAACTCCACTTGCCAGACCTAGAATTTCCAGGGCTGCTGGTAGCGCCGGGGAGGGTTCGGCTTCAGAGTCGTTACCGGTGGGGTTCCGTGGGGCAGCGGCGGCGGGAGCGGGTACGCGGAGAGCAGACGGGCACCGCACAAGCAGATCGATTCGATATCTTGCCGGGAGCGGGAGACCGGCGGGACGCAACAACAACAACGGCAGCAGTGGTGGTAGAAGTAACACGCGTCATCGGTCGCTCTTTTCGGAGGACGGGGAGGTGTGGACGGGGTGGGGTGGGGGGGGAGGGGGCGCGCGGCTGAGGCTCAGGGCGTTGAAGAGCGTCTGCAAGAGAAAGGTCACGGAGAAGGGGCTGGTGCGACACATGGAAACCGTGAGTGAGCGCCTTGTCTGTTTATAGTACCCGAAAGCAGGCAAGCATCATTGCGTCTTAGTAAGACTGCTGTACGCAGATTTGCGAGTTTTTCTTTTTGGTTCGTTGAGGTTCGCTGGGCTTTTCGAGTCAAAGACACGTACGCTGTGCGAGCTGTTCGAGCTTGGGAAACGTCACTGATGGCAGCTGGTAGCTGATTCACACCAACACATGTCTAACTTTAATCTTACATCACACCTTGATGACACTACTACCATGCTCTGTGTAGCCCACTCCGGAGCGCCCTTGTGGTTTTATTGTTTTACATACTTGTATGCACATTTGCCACTAATTCTTCAAGGTTGACGTACATGACGAGTCTGCTATCCCCGCGTGAACACATTCTCCCGTCTCTAAATCGCGCCAGGAACTGGCGGTGTTGAAGCAGTGCTCGCACCCGTTTATCGTGTCACTCAGCCCGGGAGGTCAGTTCCAGACATCACGACACCTCCACCTGGTGTTGAATTACTGTCCGGGCGGGGACTTGTTCTCTCTCCTGGCTCGAGTGGGACGATTGCCTGAGGCGCAAGTTAGGTGGGACACGCAAGACTGCTTGGGGCCCATTTTTCCCTCTTGCTGTGTTTGCTGCTGAATCTGTCGTCTGTGTCATCGTTGTCGTGTTCTTCGCTGTCGGTGTTGCTGTTGCTGTTGCTGTTGCGAAGGCAGCTTCCTTGTCTCTCTCTGCCTCTCGGTGTTTCTCGTCGACTGTTTCGTGTACGGGTCGTTTTGTGTGGCATGCTCGCTTGGATGAGCCTTTGTTCTGCCGTCGTGTTCTCCGGCTACACAGCAGGTTGGTTGGATGATTGAGCTTTTTTGTTGTGGTTGTGCCGGGAAACTATTGTCGGAACTAGAAGATATGACTGGTTTCAGGTTAGTCGGCTGGATATAGGCTCTCGGTGGGGAGTGTGGCTAGGCTAGGCTATTTTTTGTTCCGCCTTGGATGGTTGTTTGAACGTATTTCACCTCCAGACCAACCTTTTGGTCGGCGTACCCTCCCCGGTGCTAACCTAGTGCGGGTGCCGCCCACAGTCGGCACGCCTACATGGCCCGTCGCGCGCTTCCCTTCCCTCCTTTTTTGTTGTTGTTGTTGTTGTTGTTGTGGCTGTGGTTTGCTTCGACAGCATCGACGGGTGCGGTATTTTATCGCGACAAAAGACACTCGTTTCCCGTCTCTTTTTGACAACATCCAACGGTTTCAGAACCTCGTCGTAAGCGCGAGTAAGTAATGCCTCCTCATGTTTTCGGCGGTTTTGTGGCCATTGAGTGGCCATTGACAAAGGGGCGTGCTCGCGTGCCTTCGGGCCTTCTCCCCTCTGTTGTCAGGCGCCGATTTGGTGTTTCCTTTTCACCACACGCTGCCCAACCTCTCCCCCTCGGTTGGTGCATATGTTGCAATTGTGACGAAATCGTGTCCCCTTCTTCAGGGTGTGCGCAGCACAGCTGGCCCTAGCGCTGAGGCACCTCCATAGCAAGCACATCGCCTACCGAGATCTCAAGCCCGACAACGTGTGCATCGACGCCAGAGGTGAGGCTGTGCGTTGAATGACCGGGGGTAGGGGTAGGAGGGGGGGCGTACTCATTTGTTGCTTGCCGTAGTCATTTGACCATTGACCACGCGTCCCTTTCGAGACGGAGCACCGTTCCTACCCCTACTAGAGACACCACCAACATTTGGGAGCTCTTTACGTTTCTGCCACAAACTCCATAAAAATTTCTTGCACATCTTATCCCCGTCCTCTAGGGCCTCTTGTGCCCACCATCTATCCCCAATTATCGCGATTGTTTTTTCGCTGTTGTCTAATTTACCAAACTTGTCCATGTCACACCCTCTCTGTCTCATTTCCTCCTCGAGATCCTCTCTTTCCTTCCTGTACAACTCACACCCCCCAACTATGTGGGGTCTACTCTCCTCCGATTTGCCACATGGACATGTGTGTCTATCTCCTCTTCCTCTCTCCTACGGCTGGTATACCTCTTCCTCCGTTCTGGCAAGTCCAGATCGCCTACTCGAAATTGCAATTTCATCTTTTTCGCGTAGTCCATGGGGCCGTCCAAGTACGTCTTCATCCCTATCCCTTCTTTCAACTTCCCGTATATCTCCAAGTGGTCTTCGCTTCGTACCTTCTTCCGAAGGGTTGCCTCCTCCCTACTTTCTAGCATCTCCTTGACTTTCGTCTTGAACCCCCCGAACCCTTCCGTGTCCAACGTCTCCTCCTCGTCTCCTATCTCCTTCCAAACCTTCTCTACCACCTTGTCCCATCTGATTCCCTTCTTCCCTGGAGTCGCTTTTCCCCAAGCTGCCTTGTCAACCATGGCTGGTAGTCTATCGTCCGACATTCTACTTACCTTGTACTGCCACTTCAACTTCTGCATGTCTCTCTTTGTTTTAAGAGAGTACATTCCCAATTCTGCTCTCAATACAGTGTTGCTC